TAAAATCCTAACCCCTAAACTATTCACCCTACACCCTAAACCCTAAACCTCTAGGAGCCGGAGATCTCACATCCGTCCCAGCTCTGGGACGGCAAGCCGCCGAAGCAGCGCGAGCCACAGTTGAGGGCTTTAGGGCTTTAGGGGTTGAGAGCTTTAGGGGTTAGGGCTTTAAGGGTTGAGAGCTTTGGGGGTTAGGGCTTTAGGGGTTGAGAGCTTTAGGGGTTAGGGCTTTGAGGGGTTTAGGGCTTAGGGCTTTAGGGGTTGAGGGGTTTAGGGCTTTAGGGTGTAGGGGTTTAGGGGTTGAGGGGTTTAGGGGTTGGGGGGTTTGGTTTGGTTTATCTAGGTGGCACTGTGGGAAACTTTAAAATGTTCCTTGGGGTTCCTATGGAGGTACCTACTTTGAGGGCCCCAAACTACCACTTTCCACATACAAAAATGAAAATACGCAGCTGCAAGTACGCATAGAGATCCATCTACGTAGTTGTACATCTCTATACTGTGTAAGCGATCTTATGAGCACTATATCCCAACTACGGCCATTATGGCCGTATTTACAGTCTAGGTACTGTTCACTAAGTCCCCTGAACCTGAACAAATTCCGCAGAAACCAAGAAACCCACGAGGCTTTTATAAGGCCGCATAAAGACCTGCAGAAACCAAGTTTTGAAGTGCTTGCGACTTCCGAGAGGTTGACGCTGCGCTTGATCATGGAGCTGTCTCTGACACCAGCTGACGCCTCAGGAACCATGTTGTTTTGTGGCTTCGTCTTTAGGGATCGGGCTTGATGATTAGAGTCAGGGGTTCAGGTTACAAGGGGTTAAGGGCTTAAGGTCTTCGAGTTTTCGGTTTCAGGGGTTTAGGTCTTCGGGTAAAAAAGGGGGTTTTCGCATCCAAGCTTCAGGTCCCAGAGTTTCTGAGTGAACTTTCCTCGGCGCAGGGAGAGCTGGGCGCCTACGACAAGATGAGTGAGGCCTCTGCCTCTGGCTTTCGGAGGCCTCAGAAAGTGGGATGAAGGTAGGTGGGATATTCCCAAATAAGAGTCCTTATATAAGGGATCCTGAATCCTACCTACCTTCATCCCAGCTTTTGAGGCCTCCGCCTCTGGCTTCCGGGGCTCGCCGAACCCTAGCCCGGGGTGAGCCTGAGAGGCTTATATAATCCCCGATGCGTAAGCACTCGAAACACTAACCCCAGGGTTCACGGTTTAGGGTTTAGAACTCGAAGCCGCCGAAATTCGGAACCCGAAGGCGTAACTTACCATGGCCGCAAGCCAGGAAGAAGCTTTGGAGCGGGTTCGAGTGCTGAAATCGCCCGGGGCCTCAGCTCTCGCGTTTCTGATCCATGATGCCCCGAACCCTAAACCCTAAACCCTCATTCCGAAACCCTAAACCCTAAACCCGAAACCTTACAGAATAGGACCCTAAACCCAAACCGGAAACCCTAAACCCAAAACCCGTGAGGGTCTAGGTGTAGAGGGTTTCGGGGCTTCACGATAGCAGGGCTCTGCAGACGGATCGCAGCCCCCCCGGTTTTTGGTTTGTTGCACGCTCACCGTGGTGATTGTCGTTTCTGTGGCATGCCGCGTTCATGGGCTTTGCCGGAAGCAATGTGTGGTCAGGGTTTTTGGGCTTCCGAAACCCTAAAAATAAACACCACTTAATCTCCTCGACCTGGATGGCGCTCAACCCCTAAACCCCTAAACCCCTAAACCCCTCAACATTAAACCGACCCAGCCTCCCCACGACACCTCGGGCCCGGCACTGGAGCAACGGAGACTCAAAAAAGCGCTGTGGCCAGATCGTTTCCCCAATGTGCTCTTCCACGGCAATCCCTAAACTCTAACTAACCATTGATATTATGGGAGCTAAGGAGCCAGGGATGATGATAATCCCTATTGGATAAGGAGCCAAAGAGCCAAAAGAACCCCCAAAACCATTGGTTAGCTAAGGTTAGAAGTATGGGCCCTTGACATGGACCCTTAGGCTTTTTTGAGGGAGTTCTAGGCACCCTTAAGAGGCTATATAGGGTATATAGTAGGTATTTAGGGCCCATACAAGGGGCCCATGGTTCCAACCGTTGATACACCCTAAACCCGGAGGACTCTAAACCCTACTTGGAGGGTCGGGGGACTTAGTAAGTAGGTAGTAAGTAGACTTATAAGTACCCCAAAAAAGGGACCCTAATTGGGGTTATGGTACTTATAAGTCCCTAAAATAATCAGTTACTAAGTCCCCCGACCCTCCAAGTACACCCGAAACTCAAGGACATGGAGTACATCGTGGCTCCGCACATCATTCGGTCCTATCTGGAGGGCGACCAAGCGGCCAGAGTCCCAGTTCTTCTAGGATGCCCAGTAGTACCCTTATTCCCTTTTTGTAGTCCTAGGTTCCTTATAAAGTTACCCAATACCAAAAAGAGAGGCCTTTTTATTCTTAGGTTACTGGGTATCCTAGTCTTAGAGAACCCAGGAGGAATAGACCCCACCTTATAAGGGAGTTTCCGAAGATACGGGGACCCTAAATAGTAGGATCCCTATTATGAGGACCTAAAATTAGGTACCCTAATTTTGGGAAACTCTTCCGTTTAAGGGCTCTTTCTCAGGGTTCCTTTTAACGTTTCCTGAAAATTACTTGGAGGTTCATGTGTAGCTATAAGTGGGGTTATAAGTCCCCATGGGTTAAATTATAGGTACCTTGGTTACACCCCCCGGTTACAACCACCCATGAACCTCCAAGTACGACAAGACTTCCTGAATGAAGGAGCCTTTCTGGCGCGTGAAGCCCTTGTCAGACCATGAAACTCCTAACATGATTTTTGGCATATTGGGAGTTTCCGAAAATAGGGGGTACCTTATTTTGGGGTCCTTATAATAAGGATCCTACTATTTAGGGCTACTATATTAGGATCCCCTATTTTCGGAAACTCCCATATGCCGATCTCATTGGAAGGGTCAAGGGACTGGGTTATTACAAGCTTGCTTGTAGCATTGTGACCCAAACCCTGAACTTCAACCCTACATGAGCCTTGTCAGGATGTTTTTTTCACTGTACGCTTTGGCCTTCTTCTCCAAGGTTCGAGGTTTATGAGCAAGCCGACATAACTGGGAGGCTCGGGTACTATATGCACTCTAAGAGGGTCTCTAGTAACTAAGCATAGCTGTAGATGGAACAAGCACTTTGCTTGTACATACACAGCGATTCTTGATTTCCTGATATGCGCTTTCACCCCGACACCCCAAAGCCTGAACCCTAAACCCTATACCCCTATAGCCCTAGAGCCCTATAGCCCTATAGCCCTAGAGCCCTATAACCCTGAACCCTAAACCCTGTAGATCCCTTAAAGTAACCCTTATAGCACCCGAAACCGACCTTAGAGCCAAAGGCCCTCGAGAAGCACTGCGGGGACGCTGCTTTCGCGGTGGTGAACGCAGGCATCAATGAGCCACCTTCACCTCCGGAATAGGGTTTCGGTTTAGGGGCCTATATAATTTTAATAGCGTTCCTTGAAAGGAGTCTATAAGAGCTACTATAAGGGCTATTGTAAGAATAGTCTACAGATTCTACTTCTTGCGGCGAACCGTCATAAGAGCATATGGGAGCGTCAGGGTAAGCTTAGCGCTACCAGACGAGATAAGCCTTCGAAACCGCTTGGACTACACTAGAGCTACAGCTACTGCTATTGCTGCTACTATTACTACTAGAACCATGGGGTTGTCCGTAAATTGCTTTGCTTCGCATGGGTTTGCCGAATGTTTGTATGGACCTTTCATGGGTTGTTTCAGGGTTCTAGTTTCGCAGACGCAAAGAGTTTCGTACAGATGTCTTAGGGTGAAGCCCCGCAGCCCGTGCGTTTTTGCGTCAGGAGTTTGATAGAGTGCGGTACTTGGAGGATCATGGGAATTAGTACGTAAGGTTATGAGTACCTTAGCTGGGGTTATAACCTAAATATGTCCCATGCTCCTCTAAGTAGGAGAGAATCAAGCTGAAGATGTCCCTGGACACCACGATCTTGGCTGGGCCACGTGAGGCACGTGCAGTGGTTCTCTTGCAACTCACAGATCCCTGAATTACGGAATATACCTTAAATCATGGGGCCTTAATATTATGGCTTAAGGTATACCTGGAGAACCTACCTTCTTGGGGTTCCCCAATATGATGTCGTTATATAAGTCCTTAAAAATGTAGGTTGTTTGGGGTTAAGGTATATTCCTTAAGTAAGGGGTATTGGGATCTCTCAGTCGTCTGCAAACTATCAATGCATCGAGACTTCCCTGGTCTTAAACCTATAACCCCCTAGACCCTAAACCTTGAGAACTCCTAAGCCCTAACCCCCTAAGTCCTAAACCCTAAACCTCAGCCCTACGCCCTCAGCCCTAAGCCCTAACCCCAAGACCGAAACGCTCTCCCATCCTGGTGAAGTCCAAGCCACTGCCAGATCGAGCTCAAGGGGGCCAAGCTGATGGAGCAGGCCGTTCCTCCTGTAGGGTTCCTCATTCCTTTAAAGGGGTACTAAGGGTTCGTTTAAAGGGATCTATAAGGGACTTGGGAGTTTCCGAAAAATTAGGGCTACCGTATTTTGGGGTCCTATGATAAGGATCTTACCTTTTCGGGTACTTTATCAGGGTCCCCCATTTTCGGAAGCTCCCATATCACTATAAAGTAAAAGCCAGAAAGTTGGAATATGATTATCCTAAACCGTTTATGGTAAATTATAAGGTATCCTACCCTGAAACCATATTCCAGCTTTCTGGAGTTCCCTGTAATGCATCGCTTTGGGGTCCTAAGCCGAAGCTGGAATCTCTCGCACTGTCTGGTTTAGGGTTTAGGGTTTAGGGTTGTCTGGCGCAAGTTATTGGCGCTCGAGCTTTAGCCTCCAGGAAAGAGAGTACTGTCATCCCGCTTTGTACAACCATGGAGTACAAGCTGGCAGTGGATTCCAGCAAGAAGGCCACGGAGCTGCCGCTCTTGAGGGTTTGCGGCACCGTGCAGCAGAATCCGCACATGCGGGCCTTCTGGGCCAGCACCATATCTTTCTTCCTTGCCTTCTTGGGCTGCTTCGCACAATTTTATTATTACTATGTAATCTTCGCATTTTTGGGCTTAGCTCGTTTCAACCTTTAACGTACACTGTTATCAAAACAAAAAGTGTAAGCTGCCAAGGCTGGTTTGCCTTGGCGCCCTTGGGCCTCGAAGTTGCGACCAGCATGGGGACGTGCGAGAACCAGCTCTTCCCTCCTACGGACTTCCCAACGCGACCAGCCTACCTGAAGTTCAAGAACTTGAAGAGTGGGCTGAGCTATTGCCAGTATGGGGTTCTCAACGAGGACGGCAAGCCGATCGACTGCGAGGACGTGCCAGCAGATGTGGTGAGTGGCGCCGAGTCAACGGCTGAGCAGAAGGAGAAGTACAGGCCGCAGGTGCTGGCAAACTGCGTGTGCACCCCGGGCACGGAATGTAGGTCGGTGATTGCGAATCTTTGTCATCGTTGGGTTACATTTTACATTTTTATGGTTACTTAAACCCAATAAGGAATAACAAATTACATGTTAATCCTATCCCAACCAAGGAATGCCGGCGTAGCCTCCGTTTCCTCGACCATCTTCGTGAGGGTTGCCTTGGGGACGCTCCTCGAGCGCTTCGGTCCGGTAAACGTTCAGTGCGGCTTATTGTCTTTTGGGGCCTTCTGGGTGGCAATGGCGGCCGCCATTACAGCTCCATGGAACTATACGCTGATCCGCTTCTTCATAGGTTGCGCCGGCGCCACTTTCGTGACCAATCAGTTCTGGTGCTCGCTGATGTTTGCGCCCAGTGTTGTCGGCACGGCCAACGCCACTGCGGCCGGTTGGGGCAACTTGGGAGGCGGCGTGACCCAGATTTTTATGATGTCTGTACTTTTCAACCCTATGGTGGCATCCGGGTTGGAGCCGAATGTCGCTTGGCGTGTCTGCATGGCGGTGCCAGCGGTCATGTTCGTAGTTTGTGCCGTTTGCATGAAGCTCATGTGCTGGGATATGCCTACGGCACGCAACTACGATCCGGCCGTGACCGGCAAGACACAAAAGCCTTCGATGTGGGACTATGTCGAGGTGCTGCGTGACTTTCGCGTCGTGGTCATGATATTCCAATATTCCGCGTGTTTCGGCACAGAACTCGCAATGAACAATCAGTTGGCTACGCATTTTCGGACATACTTCCAGATGGATGCAGGTGATGCTAGCGCCCTGGCGGGTGCTTTCGGCTTGATGAACCTTTTTGCTCGATCACTTGGAGGTATCAGCAGCGATGTTTGCTACAAGTACTTGGGCTTCCGTGGCCGCATTTGGGCGCAGTTCCTGGCACTCTTCTTCGAAGCTATCTTCCTATTCAGTTTCGGAAACGTGGACAATTCTCAGCCTTGGTACGTGGCATTGGCAGTCTTGGTTTGCTTCTCGCTCTTTGTGCAGATGGCTGAGGGCACCTCCTACGGCATCGTGCCCTTCATGAACCGGAAGCTTGGATCAGTGCATGGAAGATTTTTGGGTGATTCGCGGTTGCCACCGTTGCATCAAATTTGGACATGTCTGTCAGCATATCTAGGTGTGAAGTAATCGGGTCATGGCAACAACTTATCTTCGTAGTTCTTCGTACCGACTGGTAGTAACATAGGGGCCTTAGTAATTAGAATGGGGTTTCGGGGTATATTATACAATATTTGTATTAAGGGACACCCAAAATAGTATGGGTAATCATTTAGGCCCTTACAGTATGCGCACGTCAGGAAGCAGCTCGCAGTGGTGTCCGCGCTTGTGGGTGCCGGTGGAAATCTCGGGGCCGTGATTGCCGGCTTCTGCTTCTACCAGCCGAGCCTTGGGTTCAGGCTTTAGGGGGGCTAAGTTAGGTTTCAGGGTTTAGGTCTGATATAGGGTTTAGGGGGGCTAATATAGGGTTGCTTCTCCTTTGTCAGTTGGGTAACATTTTGCATTTTTATAGGTACTTAAACCCTACAAGGAATAAAAATGTACATGCTTTTTCCTATTCCAACCATGAACAAGGATCCAGGATCCGCTGCTGCCTTTCCAGGTCCATGCGGGCTATGTAATGTTTTGGGCGCTGCTGAGCCCATGCTACTACTGGTCCGAGATGGGTGGGATGTTCCACGGACCGGCACAGAGCTCCGAGAAGGGCAAGACGCAAAGCAGCGAGTGCCAGTCTCATGCGGAGCCTGTGGCCACCAGTGAGAACTGCATGTGAGCTTTAGCCTGGTTCAGACACGAGGCAGTCTGACCCTCAAGGCTGAGAAAGTCCTTGTACTTATTCGATTGCTCGAGCCAGTTTTGTGTGTCCGGTCGGTGTCTTAGCATGGAGTGCAGGGCACCGACGAGTTCAGACAGTCCCGCCGCTTGGCAAAGCCAGCTGTGCGCCGGGCCTACCATTTCTGCGTTCTGCATAGAGTGCCAAGCGAATGACTTGGTGCTGCCAGCAACGGACATCGAAGACACACATAAGTGAACGATGGTGGCTACAGAGATCGGAGTGATGGCAGCTGAGTTGCGTTGCAACAGCTTTGTCATCTGTTTGAGGGCTTGCGTGTTGGAGTTTGGTAGGAGCAAAGTGAACGTCGGGCCTTTGATGGAATCCTGAAGTTGTTTCAGAGTCCGTGGGGCCAATTCCGGTCTCTGTGTGACACCCCAACTTTGCAACACCCGTTTAGGATCCCGTCGTCGCAGAAGCCTCATCCGGAGCGATGAAGCCGAACCCGACATGCCTCATGCAGAAATCCCAAGCCGGAAGAAATCCTTGAATCTCGAGGAAGCCCCTTTGCCAAAACTGGACCCCCCCTTAGCACCATAAACCGCCCTTGTCACAGCGACTTCCGACGTAGGGCGCTCCGTGCTTCATCTGGACCTTCAACATGCAGCAGGTGGGACACTTGGTTTTGGGGTCTGGGGATTCTAGGGTCCAGGGATGTGGTGGGTAGTTTAAAAGAAAAGTTCTCGTTACTCTGTTGTGGAGGGGTGGGGGTATAGTATAAAATATAGGGGCCTTAATAGTTACCTATACTATTCTAATTACAGTATAATATACACCAAAGCCATATTCTAATTATTGAGGCCCCCATATTAGAGGCGAAGTCACCAGCTCACTGATCCTCGAAGTCTTACAGATCTGGCGGTGGGTAATGTAGGGGTCTAAATGATTACCTATACTATTTTGAGGGGTTCCCTATTATGAGTATAGCCCGAAACTCTATTGAAATTATTAAGGCCCCTATACCATAGAACCCTACTATATTGAAATTATTAAGGCCCCTATACCATAGAACCCTACTATAGATCCCTTATGAGGATCCCTTCAAAAGGAACCCTATTCTAGCTATTACGCCCCCCCATAGTAGTGCATGGATCCTTGCAATGCAGGTCTGTTCTTGGGCTGTGGATCGTGGCATGCCAGAGTATGCATAACGACTCGAAAGCTTTTAAGCTGAAGCCTCCAACCGCGACGGTTTAGGGTTTAGGGTTTGGGGTTTAAGGCAAAATCCACCTGACCCAGGACTTGAAACTCTGCATGTCTCCAGCCCATCACAGCGCCAGATCGGAAATCATCCTGAACCCTCAAATCAGTATTCTTTATTTGCGTGCAAGACGTCCTTCAAGCAGATAGCGCCGTTAGCGGGGTGGGGGGGGTTCGTTCTCTCGGACTATTGAGGGGGGGGGGGGGTCCTTACTCCAGGAGTATTGAGGGGGGGTCCTTACTCCAGGGGGGGGGTTCGTAATCCGGGAGTATAGGGGGGGGGGGGGGTTCATACTTCAGGAGTATTGAGGGGCGGGGGGGTGTCTATTCCAGGACTATTGAGGGGGGGGAGGGGACTCGACAGCAACAATGGCCCCGAACGCCTGGGCCTGAGCCCAAGCCGTAAACCTGGCATTTTCTGGAGCGAGTTACTGGTGCTCGAGCTTTAGCTTCCAGGAAACAGAGTACTGTCATCCCGCTCTGTAGAACCATGGAGTACAAGCTGGCAGTGGATTCCAGCAAGAAGGCCACGGAGCTGCCGCTCTTGAGGGTTTGCGGCACCGTGCAGCAGAATCCGCACATGCGGGCCTTCTGGGCCAGCACCATATCTTTCTTCCTTGCCTTCTTGGGCTGCTTCGCACAATTTTATTATTACTATGTAATCTTCGCATTTTTGGGCTTAGCTCGTTTCAACCTTTAACGTACACTGTTATCAAAACAAAAAGTGTAAGCTGCCAAGGCTGGTTTGCCTTGGCGCCCTTGGGCCTGGAAGTTGCGACCAGCATGGGGACGTGCGAGAACCAGCTCTTCCCTCCTACGGACTTCCCAACGCGACCAGCCTACCTGAAGTTCAAGAACTTGAAGAGTGGGCTGAGCTATTGCCAGTATGGGGTTCTCAACGAGGACGGCAAGCCGATCGACTGCGAGGACGTGCCAGCAGATGTGGTGAGTGGCGCCGAGTCAACGGCTGAGCAGAAGGAGAAGTACAGGCCGCAGGTGCTGGCAAACTGCGTGTGCACCCCGGGCACGGAATGTAGGTCGGTGATTGCGAATCTTTGTCATCGTTGGGTTACATTTTACATTTTTATGGTTACTTAAACCCAATAAGGAATAACAAATTACATGTTAATCCTATCCCAACCAAGGAATGCCGGCGTAGCCTCCGTTTCCTCGACCATCTTCGTGAGGGTTGCCTTGGGGACGCTCCTCGAGCGCTTCGGTCCGGTAAACGTTCAGTGCGGCTTATTGTCTTTTGGGGCCTTCTGGGTGGCAATGGCGGCCGCCATTACAGCTCCATGGAACTATACGCTGATCCGCTTCTTCATAGGTTGCGCCGGCGCCACTTTCGTGACCAATCAGTTCTGGTGCTCGCTGATGTTTGCGCCCAGTGTTGTCGGCACGGCCAACGCCACTGCGGCCGGTTGGGGCAACTTGGGAGGCGGCGTGACCCAGATTTTTATGATGTCTGTACTTTTCAACCCTATGGTGGCATCCGGGTTGGAGCCGAATGTCGCTTGGCGTGTCTGCATGGCGGTGCCAGCGGTCATGTTCGTAGTTTGTGCCGTTTGCATGAAGCTCATGTGCTGGGATATGCCTACGGCACGCAACTACGATCCGGCCGTGACCGGCAAGACACAAAAGCCTTCGATGTGGGACTATGTCGAGGTGCTGCGTGACTTTCGCGTCGTGGTCATGATATTCCAATATTCCGCGTGTTTCGGCACAGAACTCGCAATGAACAATCAGTTGGCTACGCATTTTCGGACATACTTCCAGATGGATGCAGGTGATGCTAGCGCCCTGGCGGGTGCTTTCGGCTTGATGAACCTTTTTGCTCGATCACTTGGAGGTATCAGCAGCGATGTTTGCTACAAGTACTTGGGCTTCCGTGGCCGCATTTGGGCGCAGTTCCTGGCACTCTTCTTCGAAGCTATCTTCCTATTCAGTTTCGGAAACGTGGACAATTCTCAGCCTTGGTACGTGGCATTGGCAGTCTTGGTTTGCTTCTCGCTCTTTGTGCAGATGGCTGAGGGCACCTCCTACGGCATCGTGCCCTTCATGAACCGGAAGCTTGGATCAATGCACGGAAGATTTTTGGGTGATTCGCGGTTGCCACCGTTGCATCAAATTTGGACATGTCTGTCAGCATATCTAGGTGTGAAGTAATCGGGTCATGGCAACAACTTATCTTCGTAGTTCTTCGTACCGACTGGTAGTAACATAGGGGCCTTAGTAATTAGAATGGGGTTTCGGGGTATATTATACAATATTTGTATTAAGGGACACCCAAAATAGTATGGGTAATCATTTAGGCCCTTACAGTATGCGCACGTCAGGAAGCAGCTCGCAGTGGTGTCCGCGCTTGTGGGTGCCGGTGGAAATCTCGGGGCCGTGATTGCCGGCTTCTGCTTCTACCAGCCGAGCCTTGGGTTCAGGCTTTAGGGGGGCTAAGTTAGGTTTCAGGGTTTAGGTCTGATATAGGGTTTAGGGGGGCTAATATAGGGTTGCTTCTCCTTTGTCAGTTGGGTAACATTTTGCATTTTTATAGGTACTTAAACCCTACAAGGAATAAAAATGTACATGCTTTTTCCTATCCCAACCATGAACAAGGATCCAGGATCCGCTGCTGCCTTTCCAGGTCCATGCGGGCTATGTAATGTTTTGGGCGCTGCTGAGCCCATGCTACTACTGGTCCGAGATGGGTGGGATGTTCCACGGACCGGCACAGAGCTCCGAGAAGGGCAAGACGCAAAGCAGCGAGCACCAGTCTCACACGGAGTCTGTGGCAGTATGACGGTCGAGGCTGAACAGAACAGCCTTGTGCTGATTCGATTGCTCGAGCCAGTTTTATGTGTTCGGTCGGTGTCTTAGCATGGAGTGCAGGGCACCGACGAGTTCAGACAGTCCCGCCGCTTGGCAAAGCCAGCTGTGCGCCGGGCCTACCATTTCTGCGTTCTGCATAGAGTGCCAAGCGAATGACTTGGTGCTGCCAGCAACGGACATCGAAGACACACATAAGTGAACGATGGTGGCTACAGAGATCGGAGTGATGGCAGCTGAGTTGCGTTGCAACAGCTTTGTCATCTGTTTGAGGGCTTGCGTGTTGGAGTTTGGTAGGAGCAAAGTGAACGTCGGGCCTTTGATGGAATCCTGAAGTTGTTTCAGAGTCCGTGGGGCCAATTCCGGTCTCTGTGTGACACCCCAACTTTGCAACACCCGTTTAGGATCCCGTCGTCGCAGAAGCCTCATCCGGAGCGATGAAGCCGAACCCGACATGCCTCATGCAGAAATCCCAAGCCGGAAGAAATCCTTGAATCTCGAGGAAGCCCCTTTGCCAAAACTGGACCCCCCCTTAGCACCATAAACCGCCCTTGTCACAGCGACTTCCGACGTAGGGCGCTCCGTGCTTCATCTGGACCTTCAACATGCAGCAGGTGGGACACTTGGTTTTGGGGTCTGGGGATTCTAGGGTCCAGGGATGTGGTGGGTAGTTTAAAAGAAAAGTTCTCGTTACTCTGTTGTGGAGGGGTGGGGGTATAGTATAAAATATAGGGGCCTTAATAGTTACCTATACTATTCTAATTACAGTATAATATACACCAAAGCCATATTCTAATTATTGAGGCCCCCATATTAGAGGCGAAGTCACCAGCTCACTGATCCTCGAAGTCTTACAGATCTGGCGGTGGGTAATGTAGGGGTCTAAATGATTACCTATACTATTTTGAGGGGTTCCCTATTATGAGTATAGCCCGAAACTCTATTGAAATTATTAAGGCCCCTATACCATAGAACCCTACTATATTGAAATTATTAAGGCCCCTATACCATAGAACCCTACTATAGATCCCTTATGAGGATCCCTTCAAAAGGAACCCTATTCTAGCTATTACGCCCCCCCATAGTAGTGCATGGATCCTTGCAATGCAGGTCTGTTCTTGGGCTGTGGATCGTGGCATGCCAGAGTATGCATAACGACTCGAAAGCTTTTAAGCTGAAGCCTCCAACCGCGACGGTTTAGGGTTTAGGGTTTGGGGTTTAAGGCAAAATCCACCTGACCCAGGACTTGAAACTCTGCATGTCTCCAGCCCATCACAGCGCCAGATCGGAAATCATCCTGAACCCTCAAATCAGTATTCTTTATTTGCGTGCAAGACGTCCTTCAAGCAGATAGTGCCGTTAGCGGGGTGGGGGGGGTTCGTTCTCTCGGACTATTGAGGGGGGGGGGGGGGTCCTTACTCCAGGAGTATTGAGGGGGGGGGGTACTCCAGGGGGGGGGGTTCGTATCCGGGAGTAGGGGGGGGGGGGGGGGGTTCATACTTCAGGAGTATTGAGGGGCGGGGGGGTGTCTATTCCAGGACTATTGAGGGGGGGGAGGGGACTCGACAGCAACAATGGCCCCGAACGCCTGGGCCTGAGCCCAAGCCGTAAACCTGGCATTTTCTGGAGCGAGTTACTGGTGCTCGAGCTTTAGCTTCCAGGAAACAGAGTACTGTCATCCCGCTCTGTAGAACCATGGAGTACAAGCTGGCAGTGGATTCCAGCAAGAAGGCCACGGAGCTGCCGCTCTTGAGGGTTTGCGGCACCGTGCAGCAGAATCCGCACATGCGGGCCTTCTGGGCCAGCACCATATCTTTCTTCCTTGCCTTCTTGGGCTGCTTCGCACAATTTTATTATTACTATGTAATCTTCGCATTTTTGGGCTTAGCTCGTTTCAACCTTTAACGTACACTGTTATCAAAACAAAAAGTGTAAGCTGCCAAGGCTGGTTTGCCTTGGCGCCCTTGGGCCTCGAAGTTGCGACCAGCATGGGGACGTGCGAGAACCAGCTCTTCCCTCCTACGGACTTCCCAACGCGACCAGCCTACCTGAAGTTCAAGAACTTGAAGAGTGGGCTGAGCTATTGCCAGTATGGGGTTCTCAACGAGGACGGCAAGCCGATCGACTGCGAGGACGTGCCAGCAGATGTGGTGAGTGGCGCCGAGTCAACGGCTGAGCAGAAGGAGAAGTACAGGCCGCAGGTGCTGGCAAACTGCGTGTGCACCCCGGGCACGGAATGTAGGTCGGTGATTGCGAATCTTTGTCATCGTTGGGTTACATTTTACATTTTTATGGTTACTTAAACCCAATAAGGAATAACAAATTACATGTTAATCCTATCCCAACCAAGGAATGCCGGCGTAGCCTCCGTTTCCTCGACCATCTTCGTGAGGGTTGCCTTGGGGACGCTCCTCGAGCGCTTCGGTCCGGTAAACGTTCAGTGCGGCTTATTGTCTTTTGGGGCCTTCTGGGTGGCAATGGCGGCCGCCATTACAGCTCCATGGAACTATACGCTGATCCGCTTCTTCATAGGTTGCGCCGGCGCCACTTTCGTGACCAATCAGTTCTGGTGCTCGCTGATGTTTGCGCCCAGTGTTGTCGGCACGGCCAACGCCACTGCGGCCGGTTGGGGCAACTTGGGAGGCGGCGTGACCCAGATTTTTATGATGTCTGTACTTTTCAACCCTATGGTGGCATCCGGGTTGGAGCCGAATGTCGCTTGGCGTGTCTGCATGGCGGTGCCAGCGGTCATGTTCGTAGTTTGTGCCGTTTGCATGAAGCTCATGTGCTGGGATATGCCTACGGCACGCAACTACGATCCGGCCGTGACCGGCAAGACACAAAAGCCTTCGATGTGGGACTATGTCGAGGTGCTGCGTGACTTTCGCGTCGTGGTCATGATATTCCAATATTCCGCGTGTTTCGGCACAGAACTCGCAATGAACAATCAGTTGGCTACGCATTTTCGGACATACTTCCAGATGGATGCAGGTGATGCTAGCGCCCTGGCGGGTGCTTTCGGCTTGATGAACCTTTTTGCTCGATCACTTGGAGGTATCAGCAGCGATGTTTGCTACAAGTACTTGGGCTTCCGTGGCCGCATTTGGGCGCAGTTCCTGGCACTCTTCTTCGAAGCTATCTTCCTATTCAGTTTCGGAAACGTGGACAATTCTCAGCCTTGGTACGTGGCATTGGCAGTCTTGGTTTGCTTCTCGCTCTTTGTGCAGATGGCTGAGGGCACCTCCTACGGCATCGTGCCCTTCATGAACCGGAAGCTTGGATCAGTGCACGGAAGATTTTTGGGTGATTCGCGGTTGCCACCGTTGCATCAAATTTGGACATGTCTGTCAGCATATCTAGGTGTGAAGTAATCGGGTCATGGCAACAACTTATCTTCGTAGTTCTTCGTACCGACTGGTAGTAACATAGGGGCCTTAGTAATTAGAATGGGGTTTCGGGGTATATTATACAATATTTGTATTAAGGGACACCCAAAATAGTATGGGTAATCATTTAGGCCCTTACAGTATGCGCACGTCAGGAAGCAGCTCGCAGTGGTGTCCGCGCTTGTGGGTGCCGGTGGAAATCTCGGGGCCGTGATTGCCGGCTTCTGCTTCTACCAGCCGAGCCTTGGGTTCAGGCTTTAGGGGGGCTAAGTTAGGTTTCAGGGTTTAGGTCTGATATAGGGTTTAGGGGGGCTAATATAGGGTTGCTTCTCCTTTGTCAGTTGGGTAACATTTTGCATTTTTATAGGTACTTAAACCCTACAAGGAATAAAAATGTACATGCTTTTTCCTATCCAACCATGAACAAGGATCCAGGATCCGCTGCTGCCTTTCCAGGTCCATGCGGGCTATGTAATGTTTTGGGCGCTGCTGAGCCCATGCTACTACTGGTCCGAGATGGGTGGGATGTTCCACGGACCGGCACAGAGCTCCGAGAAGGGCAAGACGCAAAGCAGCGAGTGCCAGTCTCATGCGGAGCCTGTGGCCACCAGTGAGAACTGCATGTGAGCTTTAGCCTGGTTCAGACACGAGGCAGTCTGACCCTCAAGGCTGAGAAAGTCTTTGTACTTATTCGATTGCTCGAGCCAGTTTTGTGTGTCCGGTCGGTGTCTTAGCATGGAGTGCAGGGCACCGACGAGTTCAGACAGTCCCGCCGCTTGGCAAAGCCAGCTGTGCGCCGGGCCTACCATTTCTGCGTTCTGCATAGAGTGCCAAGCGAATGACTTGGTGCTGCCAGCAACGGACATCGAAGACACACATAAGTGAACGATGGTGGCTACAGAGATCGGAGTGATGGCAGCTGAGTTGCGTTGCAACAGCTTTGTCATCTGTTTGAGGGCTTGCGTGTTGGAGTTTGGTAGGAGCAAAGTGAACGTCGGGCCTTTGATGGAATCCTGAAGTTGTTTCAGAGTCCGTGGGGCCAATTCCGGTCTCTGTGTGACACCCCAACTTTGCAACACCCGTTTAGGATCCCGTCGTCGCAGAAGCCTCATCCGGAGCGATGAAGCCGAACCCGACATGCCTCATGCAGAAATCCCAAGCCGGAAGAAATCCTTGAATCTCGAGGAAGCCCCTTTGCCAAAACTGGACCCCCCCTTAGCACCATAAACCGCCCTTGTCACAGCGACTTCCGACGTAGGGCGCTCCGTGCTTCATCTGGACCTTCAACATGCAGCAGGTGGGACACTTGGTTTTGGGGTCTGGGGATTCTAGGGTCCAGGGATGTGGTGGGTAGTTTAAAAGAAAAGTTCTCGTTACTCTGTTGTGGAGGGGTGGGGGTATAGTATAAAATATAGGGGCCTTAATAGTTACCTATACTATTCTAATTACAGTATAATATACACCAAAGCCATATTCTAATTATTGAGGCCCCCATATTAGAGGCGAAGTCACCAGCTCACTGATCCTCGAAGTCTTACAGATCTGGCGGTGGGTAATGTAGGGGTCTAAATGATTACCTATACTATTTTGAGGGGTTCCCTATTATGAGTATAGCCCGAAACTCTATTGAAATTATTAAGGCCCCTATACCATAGAACCCTACTATATTGAAATTATTAAGGCCCCTATACCATAGAACCCTACTATAGATCCCTTATGAGGATCCCTTCAAAAGGAACCCTATTCTAGCTATTACGCCCCCCCATAGTAGTGCATGGATCCTTGCAATGCAGGTCTGTTCTCGGGCTGTGGATCGTGGCATGCCAGAGTATGCATAACGACTCGAAAGCTTTTAAGCTGAAGCCTCCAACCGCGACGGTTTAGGGTTTAGGGTTTGGGGTTTAAGGCAAAATCCACCTGACCCAGGACTTGAAACTCTGCATGTCTCCAGCCCATCACAGCGCCAGATCGGAAATCATCCTGAACCCTCAAATCAGTATTCTTTATTTGCGTGCAAGACGTCCTTCAAGCAGATAGTGCCGTTAGCGGGGTGGGGGGGGTTCGTTCTCTCGGACTATTGAGGGGGGGGGGGGTCCTTACTCCAGGAGTATTGAGGGGGGGGATGGGGGGGGGGTTCGTAATCCGGGAGTATATAGGGGGGGGAGGGGTTCATACTTCGAGTATTGAGGGGCGGGGGGTGTCTATTCCAGGACTATTGAGGGGGGGGGGGGAGGGGACTCGACAGCAACAATGGCCCCGAACGCCTGGGCCTGAGCCCAAGCCGTAAACCTGGCATTTTCTGGAGCGAGTTACTGGTGCTCGAGCTTTAGCTTCCAGGAAACAGAGTACTGTCATCCCGCTCTGTAGAACCATGGAGTACAAGCTGGCAGTGGATTCCAGCAAGAAGGCCACGGAGCTGCCGCTCTTGAGGGTTTGCGGCACCGTGCAGCAGAATCCGCACATGCGGGCCTTCTGGGCCAGCACCATATCTTTCTTCCTTGCCTTCTTGGGCTGCTTCGCACAATTTTATTATTACTATGTAATCTTCGCATTTTTGGGCTTAGCTCGTTTCAACCTTTAACGTACACTGTTATCAAAACAAAAAGTGTAAGCTGCCAAGGCTGGTTTGCCTTGGCGCCCTTGGGCCTCGAAGTTGCGACCAGCATGGGGACGTGCGAGAACCAGCTCTTCCCTCCTACGGACTTCCCAACGCGACCAGCCTACCTGAAGTTCAAGAACTTGAAGAGTGGGCTGAGCTATTGCCAGTATGGGGTTCTCAACGAGGACGGCAAGCCGATCGACTGCGAGGACGTGCCAGCAGATGTGGTGAGTGGCGCCGAGTCAACGGCTGAGCAGAAGGAGAAGTACAGGCCGCAGGTGCTGGCAAACTGCGTGTGCACCCCGGGCACGGAATGTAGGTCGGTGATTGCGAATCTTTGTCATCGTTGGGTTACATTTTACATTTTTATGGTTACTTAAACCCAATAAGGAATAACAAATTACATGTTAATCCTATCCCAACCAAGGAATGCCGGCGTAGCCTCCGTTTCCTCGACCATCTTCGTGAGGGTTGCCTTGGGGACGCTCCTCGAGCGCTTCGGTCCGGTAAACGTTCAGTGCGGCTTATTGTCTTTTGGGGCCTTCTGGGTGGCAATGGCGGCCGCCATTACAGCTCCATGGAACTATACGCTGATCCGCTTCTTCATAGGTTGCGCCGGCGCCACTTTCGTGACCAATCAGTTCTGGTGCTCGCTGATGTTTGCGCCCAGTGTTGTCGGCACGGCCAACGCCACTGCGGCCGGTTGGGGCAACTTGGGAGGCGGCGTGACCCAGATTTTTATGATGTCTGTACTTTTCAACCCTATGGTGGCATCCGGGTTGGAGCCGAATGTCGCTTGGCGTGTCTGCATGGCGGTGCCAGCGGTCATGTTCGTAGTTTGTGCCGTTTGCATGAAGCTCATGTGCTGGGATATGCCTACGGCACGCAACTACGATCCGGCCGTGACCGGCAAGACACAAAAGCCTTCGATGTGGGACTATGTCGAGGTGCTGCGTGACTTTCGCGTCGTGGTCATGATATTCCAATATTCCGCGTGTTTCGGCACAGAACTCGCAATGAACAATCAGTTGGCTACGCATTTTCGGACATACTTCCAGATGGATGCAGGTGATGCTAGCGCCCTGGCGGGTGCTTTCGGCTTGATGAACCTTTTTGCTCGATCACTTGGAGGTATCAGCAGCGATGTTTGCTACAAGTACTTGGGCTTCCGTGGCCGCATTTGGGCGCAGTTCCTGGCACTCTTCTTCGAAGCTATCTTCCTATTCAGTTTCGGAAACGTGGACAATTCTCAGCCTTGGTACGTGGCATTGGCAGTCTTGGTTTGCTTCTCGCTCTTTGTGCAGATGGCTGAGGGCACCTCCTACGGCATCGTGCCCTTCATGAACCGGAAGCTTGGATCAGTGCACGGAAGATTTTTGGGTGATTCGCGGTTGCCACCGTTGCATCAAATTTGGACATGTCTGTCAGCATATCTAGGTGTGAAGTAATCGGGTCATGGCAACAACTTATCTTCGTAGTTCTTCGTACCGACTGGTAGTAACATAGGGGCCTTAGTAATTAGAATGGGGTTTCGGGGTATATTATACAATATTTGTATTAAGGGACACCCAAAATAGTATGGGTAATCATTTAGGCCCTTACAGTATGCGCACGTCAGGAAGCAGCTCGCAGTGGTGTCCGCGCTTGTGGGTGCCGGTGGAAATCTCGGGGCCGTGATTGCCGGCTTCTGCTTCTACCAGCCGAGCCTTGGGTTCAGGCTTTAGGGGGGCTAAGTTAGGTTTCAGGGTTTAGGTCTGATATAGGGTTTAGGGGGGCTAATATAGGGTTGCTTCTCCTTTGTCAGTTGGGTAACATTTTGCATTTTTATAGGTACTTAAACCCTACAAGGAATAAAAATGTACATGGTTTTTCTTATCCCAACCATGAACAAGGATCCAGGATCCGCTGCTGCCTTTCCAGGTCCATGCGGGCTATGTAATGTTTTGGGCGCTGCTGAGCCCATGCTACTACTGGTCCGAGATGGGTGGGATGTTCCACGGACCGGCACAGAGCTCCGAGAAGGGCAAGACGCAAAGCAGCGAGTGCCAGTCTCATGCGGAGCCTGTGGCCACCAGTGAGAACTGCATGTGAGCTTTAGCCTGGTTCAGACACGAGGCAGTCTGACCCTCAAGGCTGAGAAAGTCTTTGTACTTATTCGATTGCTCGAGCCAGTTTTGTGTGTCCGGTCGGTGTCTTAGCATGGAGTGCAGGGCACCGACGAGTTCAGACAGTCCCGCCGCTTGGCAAAGCCAGCTGTGCGCCGGGCCTACCATTTCTGCGTTCTGCATAGAGTGCCAAGCGAATGACTTGGTGCTGCCAGCAACGGACATCTAAGACACACATAAGTGAACGATGGTGGCTACAGAGATCGGAGTGATGGCAGCTGAGTTGCGTTGCAACAGCTTTGTCATCTGTTTGAGGGCTTGCGTGTTGGAGTTTGGTAGGAGCAAAGTGAACGTCGGGCCTTTGATGGAATCCTGAAGTTGTTTCAGAGTCCGTGGGGCCAATTCCGGTCTCTGTGTGACACCCCAACTTTGCAACACCCGTTTAGGATCCCGTCGTCGCAGAAGCCTCATCCGGAGCGATGAAGCCGAACCCGACATGCCTCATGCAGAAATCCCAAGCCGGAAGAAATCCTTGAATCTCGAGGAAGCCCCTTTGCCAAAACTGGACCCCCCCTTAGCACCATAAACCGCCCTTGTCACAGCGACTTCCGACGTAGGGCGCTCCGTGCTTCATCTGGACCTTCAACATGCAGCAGGTGGGACACTTGGTTTTGGGGTCTGGGGATTCTAGGGTCCAGGGATGTGGTGGGTAGTTTAAAAGAAAAGTTCTCGTTACTCTGTTGTGGAGGGGTGGGGGTATAGTATAAAATATAGGGGCCTTAATAGTTACCTATACTATTCTAATTACAGTATAATATACACCAAAGCCATATTCTAATTATTGAGGCCCCCATATTAGAGGCGAAGTCACCAGCTCACTGATCCTCGAAGTCTTACAGATCTGGCGGTGGGTAATGTAGGGGTCTAAATGATTACCTATACTATTTTGAGGGGTTCCCTATTATGAGTATAGCCCGAAACTCTATTGAAATTATTAAGGCCCCTATACCATAGAACCCTACTATATTGAAATTATTAAGGCCCCTATACCATAGAACCCTACTATAGATCCCTTATGAGGATCCCTTCAAAAGGAACCCTATTCTAGCTATTACGCCCCCCCATAGTAGTGCATGGATCCTTGCAATGCAGGTCTGTTCTTGGGCTGTGGATCGTGGCATGCCAGAGTATGCATAACGACTCGAAAGCTTTTAAGCTGAAGCCTCCAACCGCGACGGTTTAGGGTTTAGGGTTTGGGGTTTAAGGCAAAATCCACCTGACCCAGGACTTGAAACTCTGCATGTCTCCAGCCCATCACAGCGCCAGATCGGAAATCATCCTGAACCCTCAAATCAGTATTCTTTATTTGCGTGCAAGACGTCCTTCAAGCAGATAGCGCCGTTAGCGGGGTGGGGGGGGTTCGTTCTCTCGGACTATTGAGGGGGGGGGGGGGGGGGTCCTTACTCCAGGAGTATTGAGGGGGGTCCTTACTCCAGGGGGGGGGGGTTCGTAATCCGGGAGTATAGGGGGGGGGGGGGGTTCATACTTCAGGAGTATTGAGGGGCGGGGGGGTGTCTATTCCAGGACTATTGAGGGGGGGGAGGGGACTCGACAGCAACAATGGCCCCGAACGCCTGGGCCTGAGCCCAAGCCGTAAACCTGGCATTTTCTGGAGCGAGTTACTGGTGCTCGAGCTTTAGCTTCCAGGAAACAGAGTACTGTCATCCCGCTCTGTAGAACCATGGAGTACAAGCTGGCAGTGGATTCCAGCAAGAAGGCCACGGAGCTGCCGCTCTTGAGGGTTTGCGGCACCGTGCAGCAGAATCCGCACATGCGGGCCTTCTGGGCCAGCACCATATCTTTCTTCCTTGCCTTCTTGGGCTGCTTCGCACAATTTTATTATTACTATGTAATCTTCGCATTTTTGGGCTTAGCTCGTTTCAACCTTTAACGTACACTGTTATCAAAACAAAAAGTGTAAGCTGCCAAGGCTGGTTTGCCTTGGCGCCCTTGGGCCTGGAAGTTGCGACCAGCATGGGGACGTGCGAGAACCAGCTCTTCCCTCCTACGGACTTCCCAACGCGACCAGCCTACCTGAAGTTCAAGAACTTGAAGAGTGGGCTGAGCTATTGCCAGTATGGGGTTCTCAACGAGGACGGCAAGCCGATCGACTGCGAGGACGTGCCAGCAGATGTGGTGAGTGGCGCCGAGTCAACGGCTGAGCAGAAGGAGAAGTACAGGCCGCAGGTGCTGGCAAACTGCGTGTGCACCCCGGGCACGGAATGTAGGTCGGTGATTGCGAATCTTTGTCATCGTTGGGTTACATTTTACATTTTTATGGTTACTTAAACCCAATAAGGAATAACAAATTACATGTTAATCCTATCCCAACCAAGGAATGCCGGCGTAGCCTCCGTTTCCTCGACCATCTTCGTGAGGGTTGCCTTGGGGACGCTCCTCGAGCGCTTCGGTCCGGTAAACGTTCAGTGCGGCTTATTGTCTTTTGGGGCCTTCTGGGTGGCAATGGCGGCCGCCATTACAGCTCCATGGAACTATACGCTGATCCGCTTCTTCATAGGTTGCGCCGGCGCCACTTTCGTGACCAATCAGTTCTGGTGCTCGCTGATGTTTGCGCCCAGTGTTGTCGGCACGGCCAACGCCACTGCGGCCGGTTGGGGCAACTTGGGAGGCGGCGTGACCCAGATTTTTATGATGTCTGTACTTTTCAACCCTATGGTGGCATCCGGGTTGGAGCCGAATGTCGCTTGGCGTGTCTGCATGGCGGTGCCAGCGGTCATGTTCGTAGTTTGTGCCGTTTGCATGAAGCTCATGTGCTGGGATATGCCTACGGCACGCAACTACGATCCGGCCGTGACCGGCAAGACACAAAAGCCTTCGATGTGGGACTATGTCGAGGTGCTGCGTGACTTTCGCGTCGTGGTCATGATATTCCAATATTCCGCGTGTTTCGGCACAGAACTCGCAATGAACAATCAGTTGGCTACGCATTTTCGGACATACTTCCAGATGGATGCAGGTGATGCTAGCGCCCTGGCGGGTGCTTTCGGCTTGATGAACCTTTTTGCTCGATCACTTGGAGGTATCAGCAGCGATGTTTGCTACAAGTACTTGGGCTTCCGTGGCCGCATTTGGGCGCAGTTCCTGGCACTCTTCTTCGAAGCTATCTTCCTATTCAGTTTCGGAAACGTGGACAATTCTCAGCCTTGGTACGTGGCATTGGCAGTCTTGGTTTGCTTCTCGCTCTTTGTGCAGATGGCTGAGGGCACCTCCTACGGCATCGTGCCCTTCATGAACCGGAAGCTTGGATCAGTGCACGGAAGATTTTTGGGTGATTCGCGGTTGCCACCGTTGCATCAAATTTGGACATGTCTGTCAGCATATCTAGGTGTGAAGTAATCGGGTCATGGCAACAACTTATCTTCGTAGTTCTTCGTACCGACTGGTAGTAACATAGGGGCCTTAGTAATTAGAATGGGGTTTCGGGGTATATTATACAATATTTGTATTAAGGGACACCCAAAATAGTATGGGTAATCATTTAGGCCCTTACAGTATGCGCACGTCAGGAAGCAGCTCGCAGTGGTGTCCGCGCTTGTGGGTGCCGGTGGAAATCTCGGGGCCGTGATTGCCGGCTTCTGCTTCTACCAGCCGAGCCTTGGGTTCAGGCTTTAGGGGGGCTAAGTTAGGTTTCAGGGTTTAGGTCTGATATAGGGTTTAGGGGGGCTAATATAGGGTTGCTTCTCCTTTGTCAGTTGGGTAACATTTTGCATTTTTATAGGTACTTAAACCCTACAAGGAATAAAAATGTACATGGTTTTTCTTATCCCAACCATGAACAAGGATCCAGGATCCGCTGCTGCCTTTCCAGGTCCATGCGGGCTATGTAATGTTTTGGGCGCTGCTGAGCCCATGCTACTACTGGTCCGAGATGGGTGGGATGTTCCACGGACCGGCACAGAGCTCCGAGAAGGGCAAGACGCAAAGCAGCGAGTGCCAGTCTCATGCGGAGCCTGTGGCCACCAGTGAGAACTGCATGTGAGCTTTAGCCTGGTTCAGACACGAGGCAGTCTGACCCTCAAGGCTGAGAAAGTCTTTGTACTTATTCGATTGCTCGAGCCAGTTTTGTGTGTCCGGTCGGTGTCTTAGCATGGAGTGCAGGGCACCGACGAGTTCAGACAGTCCCGCCGCTTGGCAAAGCCAGCTGTGCGCCGGGCCTACCATTTCTGCGTTCTGCATAGAGTGCCAAGCGAATGACTTGGTGCTGCCAGCAACGGACATCGAAGACACACATAAGTGAACGATGGTGGCTACAGAGATCGGAGTGATGGCAGCTGAGTTGCGTTGCAACAGCTTTGTCATCTGTTTGAGGGCTTGCGTGTTGGAGTTTGGTAGGAGCAAAGTGAACGTCGGGCCTTTGATGGAATCCTGAAGTTGTTTCAGAGTCCGTGGGGCCAATTCCGGTCTCTGTGTGACACCCCAACTTTGCAACACCCGTTTAGGATCCCGTCGTCGCAGAAGCCTCATCCGGAGCGATGAAGCCGAACCCGACATGCCTCATGCAGAAATCCCAAGCCGGAAGAAATCCTTGAATCTCGAGGAAGCCCCTTTGCCAAAACTGGACCCCCCCTTAGCACCATAAACCGCCCTTGTCACAGCGACTTCCGACGTAGGGCGCTCCGTGCTTCATCTGGACCTTCAACATGCAGCAGGTGGGACACTTGGTTTTGGGGTCTGGGGATTCTAGGGTCCAGGGATGTGGTGGGTAGTTTAAAAGAAAAGTTCTCGTTACTCTGTTGTGGAGGGGTGGGGGTATAGTATAAAATATAGGGGCCTTAATAGTTACCTATACTATTCTAATTACAGTATAATATACACCAAAGCCATATTCTAATTATTGAGGCCCCCATATTAGAGGCGAAGTCACCAGCTCACTGATCCTCGAAGTCTTACAGATCTGGCGGTGGGTAATGTAGGGGTCTAAATGATTACCTATACTATTTTGAGGGGTTCCCTATTATGAGTATAGCCCGAAACTCTATTGAAATTATTAAGGCCCCTATACCATAGAACCCTACTATATTGAAATTAATAAGGCCCCTATACCATAGAACCCTACTATAGATCCCTTATGAGGATCCCTTCAAAAGGAACCCTATTCTAGCTATTACGCCCCCCCATAGTAGTGCATGGATCCTTGCAATGCAGGTCTGTTCTTGGGCTGTGGATCGTGGCATGCCAGAGTATGCATAACGACTCGAAAGCTTTTAAGCTGAAGCCTCCAACCGCGACGGTTTAGGGTTTAGGGTTTGGGGTTTAAGGCAAAATCCACCTGACCCAGGACTTGAAACTCTGCATGTCTCCAGCCCATCACAGCGCCAGATCGGAAATCATCCTGAACCCTCAAATCAGTATTCTTTATTTGCGTGCAAGACGTCCTTCAAGCAGATAGTGCCGTTAGCGGGGTGGGGGGGGTTCGTTCTCTCGGACTATTGAGGGGGGGGGGGGGGGCCTTACTCCAGGAGTATTGAGGGGGGGCCTTACTCCAGGGGGGGGGGGTTTCGTAATCCGGGAGTATAGGGGGGGGGGGGGGTTCATACTTCAGGAGTATTGAGGGGCGGGGGGGTGTCTATTCCAGGACTATTGAGGGGGGGGAGGGGACTCGACAGCAACAATGGCCCCGAACGCCTGGGCCTGAGCCCAAGCCGTAAACCTGGCATTTTCTGGAGCGAGTTACTGGTGCTCGAGCTTTAGCTTCCAGGAAACAGAGTACTGTCATCCCGCTCTGTAGAACCATGGAGTACAAGCTGGCAGTGGATTCCAGCAAGAAGGCCACGGAGCTGCCGCTCTTGAGGGTTTGCGGCACCGTGCAGCAGAATCCGCACATGCGGGCCTTCTGGGCCAGCACCATATCTTTCTTCCTTGCCTTCTTGGGCTGCTTCGCACAATTTTATTATTACTATGTAATCTTCGCATTTTTGGGCTTAGCTCGTTTCAACCTTTAACGTACACTGTTATCAAAACAAAAAGTGTAAGCTGCCAAGGCTGGTTTGCCTTGGCGCCCTTGGGCCTCGAAGTTGCGACCAGCATGGGGACGTGCGAGAACCAGCTCTTCCCTCCTACGGACTTCCCAACGCGACCAGCCTACCTGAAGTTCAAGAACTTGAAGAGTGGGCTGAGCTATTGCCAGTATGGGGTTCTCAACGAGGACGGCAAGCCGATCGACTGCGAGGACGTGCCAGCAGATGTGGTGAGTGGCGCCGAGTCAACGGCTGAGCAGAAGGAGAAGTACAGGCCGCAGGTGCTGGCAAACTGCGTGTGCACCCCGGGCACGGAATGTAGGTCGGTGATTGCGAATCTTTGTCATCGTTGGGTTACATTTTACATTTTTATGGTTACTTAAACCCAATAAGGAATAACAAATTACATGTTAATCCTATCCCAACCAAGGAATGCCGGCGTAGCCTCCGTTTCCTCGACCATCTTCGTGAGGGTTGCCTTGGGGACGCTCCTCGAGCGCTTCGGTCCGGTAAACGTTCAGTGCGGCTTATTGTCTTTTGGGGCCTTCTGGGTGGCAATGGCGGCCGCCATTACAGCTCCATGGAACTATACGCTGATCCGCTTCTTCATAGGTTGCGCCGGCGCCACTTTCGTGACCAATCAGTTCTGGTGCTCGCTGATGTTTGCGCCCAGTGTTGTCGGCACGGCCAACGCCACTGCGGCCGGTTGGGGCAACTTGGGAGGCGGCGTGACCCAGATTTTTATGATGTCTGTACTTTTCAACCCTATGGTGGCATCCGGGTTGGAGCCGAATGTCGCTTGGCGTGTCTGCATGGCGGTGCCAGCGGTCATGTTCGTAGTTTGTGCCGTTTGCATGAAGCTCATGTGCTGGGATATGCCTACGGCACGCAACTACGATCCGGCCGTGACCGGCAAGACACAAAAGCCTTCGATGTGGGACTATGTCGAGGTGCTGCGTGACTTTCGCGTCGTGGTCATGATATTCCAATATTCCGCGTGTTTCGGCACAGAACTCGCAATGAACAATCAGTTGGCTACGCATTTTCGGACATACTTCCAGATGGATGCAGGTGATGCTAGCGCCCTGGCGGGTGCTTTCGGCTTGATGAACCTTTTTGCTCGATCACTTGGAGGTATCAGCAGCGATGTTTGCTACAAGTACTTGGGCTTCCGTGGCCGCATTTGGGCGCAGTTCCTGGCACTCTTCTTCGAAGCTATCTTCCTATTCAGTTTCGGAAACGTGGACAATTCTCAGCCTTGGTACGTGGCATTGGCAGTCTTGGTTTGCTTCTCGCTCTTTGTGCAGATGGCTGAGGGCACCTCCTACGGCATCGTGCCCTTCATGAACCGGAAGCTTGGATCAGTGCATGGAAGATTTTTGGGTGATTCGCGGTTGCCACCGTTGCATCAAATTTGGACATGTCTGTCAGCATATCTAGGTGTGAAGTAATCGGGTCATGGCAACAACTTATCTTCGTAGTTCTTCGTACCGACTGGTAGTAACATAGGGGCCTTAGTAATTAGAATGGGGTTTCGGGGTATATTATACAATATTTGTATTAAGGGACACCCAAAATAGTATGGGTAATCATTTAGGCCCTTACAGTATGCGCACGTCAGGAAGCAGCTCGCAGTGGTGTCCGCGCTTGTGGGTGCCGGTGGAAATCTCGGGGCCGTGATTGCCGGCTTCTGCTTCTACCAGCCGAGCCTTGGGTTCAGGCTTTAGGGGGGCTAAGTTAGGTTTCAGGGTTTAGGTCTGATATAGGGTTTAGGGGGGCTAATATAGGGTTGCTTCTCCTTTGTCAGTTGGGTAACATTTTGCATTTTTATAGGTACTTAAACCCTACAAGGAATAAAAATGTACATGCTTTTTCCTATCCCAACCATGAACAAGGATCCAGGATCCGCTGCTGCCTTTCCAGGTCCATGCGGGCTATGTAATGTTTTGGGCGCTGCTGAGCCCATGCTACTACTGGTCCGAGATGGGTGGGATGTTCCACGGACCGGCACAGAGCTCCGAGAAGGGCAAGACGCAAAGCAGCGAGCACCAGTCTCACACGGAGTCTGTGGCAGTATGACGGTCGAGGCTGAACAGAACAGCCTTGTGCTGATTCGATTGCTCGAGCCAGTTTTATGTGTTCGGTCGGTGTCTTAGCATGGAGTGCAGGGCACCGACGAGTTCAGACAGTCCCGCCGCTTGGCAAAGCCAGCTGTGCGCCGGGCCTACCATTTCTGCGTTCTGCATAGAGTGCCAAGCGAATGACTTGGTGCTGCCAGCAACGGACATCGAAGACACACATAAGTGAACGATGGTGGCTACAGAGATCGGAGTGATGGCAGCTGAGTTGCGTTGCAACAGCTTTGTCATCTGTTTGAGGGCTTGCGTGTTGGAGTTTGGTAGGAGCAAAGTGAACGTCGGGCCTTTGATGGAATCCTGAAGTTGTTTCAGAGTCCGTGGGGCCAATTCCGGTCTCTGTGTGACACCCCAACTTTGCAACACCCGTTTAGGATCCCGTCGTCGCAGAAGCCTCATCCGGAGCGATGAAGCCGAACCCGACATGCCTCATGCAGAAATCCCAAGCCGGAAGAAATCCTTGAATCTCGAGGAAGCCCCTTTGCCAAAACTGGACCCCCCCTTAGCACCATAAACCGCCCTTGTCACAGCGACTTCCGACGTAGGGCGCTCCGTGCTTCATCTGGACCTTCAACATGCAGCAGGTGGGACACTTGGTTTTGGGGTCTGGGGATTCTAGGGTCCAGGGATGTGGTGGGTAGTTTAAAAGAAAAGTTCTCGTTACTCTGTTGTGGAGGGGTGGGGGTATAGTATAAAATATAGGGGCCTTAATAGTTACCTATACTATTCTAATTACAGTATAATATACACCAAAGCCATATTCTAATTATTGAGGCCCCCATATTAGAGGCGAAGTCACCAGCTCACTGATCCTCGAAGTCTTACAGATCTGGCGGTGGGTAATGTAGGGGTCTAAATGATTACCTATACTATTTTGAGGGGTTCCCTATTATGAGTATAGCCCGAAACTCTATTGAAATTATTAAGGCCCCTATACCATAGAACCCTACTATATTGAAATTATTAAGGCCCCTATACCATAGAACCCTACTATAGATCCCTTATGAGGATCCCTTCAAAAGGAACCCTATTCTAGCTATTACGCCCCCCCATAGTAGTGCATGGATCCTTGCAATGCAGGTCTGTTCTTGGGCTGTGGATCGTGGCATGCCAGAGTATGCATAACGACTCGAAAGCTTTTAAGCTGAAGCCTCCAACCGCGACGGTTTAGGGTTTAGGGTTTGGGGTTTAAGGCAAAATCCACCTGACCCAGGACTTGAAACTCTGCATGTCTCCAGCCCATCACAGCGCCAGATCGGAAATCATCCTGAACCCTCAAATCAGTATTCTTTATTTGCGTGCAAGACGTCCTTCAAGCAGATAGCGCCGTTAGCGGGGTGGGGGGGGTTCGTTCTCTCGGACTATTGAGGGGGGGGGGGGGGTCCTTACTCCAGGAGTATTGAAGGGGGGTCCTTACTCCAGGGGGGGGGGGGTTCGTAATCCGGGAGTATAGGGGGGGGGGGGGGTTCATACTTCAGGAGTATTGAGGGGCGGGGGGGTGTCTATTCCAGGACTATTGAGGGGGGGGAGGGGACTCGACAGCAACAATGGCCCCGAACGCCTGGGCCTGAGCCCAGGCCGTAAACCTGGCATTTTCTGGAGCGAGTTACTGGTGCTCGAGCTTTAGCTTCCAGGAAACAGAGTACTGTCATCCCGCTCTGTAGAACCATGGAGTACAAGCTGGCAGTGGATTCCAGCAAGAAGGCCACGGAGCTGCCGCTCTTGAGGGTTTGCGGCACCGTGCAGCAGAATCCGCACATGCGGGCCTTCTGGGCCAGCACCATATCTTTCTTCCTTGCCTTCTTGGGCTGCTTCGCACAATTTTATTATTACTATGTAATCTTCGCATTTTTGGGCTTAGCTCGTTTCAACCTTTAACGTACACTGTTATCAAAACAAAAAGTGTAAGCTGCCAAGGCTGGTTTGCCTTGGCGCCCTTGGGCCTGGAAGTTGCGACCAGCATGGGGACGTGCGAGAACCAGCTCTTCCCTCCTACGGACTTCCCAACGCGACCAGCCTACCTGAAGTTCAAGAACTTGAAGAGTGGGCTGAGCTATTGCCAGTATGGGGTTCTCAACGAGGACGGCAAGCCGATCGACTGCGAGGACGTGCCAGCAGATGTGGTGAGTGGCGCCGAGTCAACGGCTGAGCAGAAGGAGAAGTACAGGCCGCAGGTGCTGGCAAACTGCGTGTGCACCCCGGGCACGGAATGTAGGTCGGTGATTGCGAATCTTTGTCATCGTTGGGTTACATTTTACATTTTTATGGTTACTTAAACCCAATAAGGAATAACAAATTACATGTTAATCCTATCCCAACCAAGGAATGCCGGCGTAGCCTCCGTTTCCTCGACCATCTTCGTGAGGGTTGCCTTAGGGACGCTCCTCGAGCGCTTCGGTCCGGTAAACGTTCAGTGCGGCTTATTGTCTTTTGGGGCCTTCTGGGTGGCAATGGCGGCCGCCATTACAGCTCCATGGAACTATACGCTGATCCGCTTCTTCATAGGTTGCGCCGGCGCCACTTTCGTGACCAATCAGTTCTGGTGCTCGCTGATGTTTGCGCCCAGTGTTGTCGGCACGGCCAACGCCACTGCGGCCGGTTGGGGCAACTTGGGAGGCGGCGTGACCCAGATTTTTATGATGTCTGTACTTTTCAACCCTATGGTGGCATCCGGGTTGGAGCCGAATGTCGCTTGGCGTGTCTGCATGGCGGTGCCAGCGGTCATGTTCGTAGTTTGTGCCGTTTGCATGAAGCTCATGTGCTGGGATATGCCTACGGCACGCAACTACGATCCGGCCGTGACCGGCAAGACACAAAAGCCTTCGATGTGGGACTATGTCGAGGTGCTGCGTGACTTTCGCGTCGTGGTCATGATATTCCAATATTCCGCGTGTTTCGGCACAGAACTCGCAATGAACAATCAGTTGGCCACGCATTTTCGGACATACTTCCAGATGGATGCAGGTGATGCTAGCGCCCTGGCGGGTGCTTTCGGCTTGATGAACCTTTTTGCTCGATCACTTGGAGGTATCAGCAGCGATGTTTGCTACAAGTACTTGGGCTTCCGTGGCCGCATTTGGGCGCAGTTCCTGGCACTCTTCTTCGAAGCTATCTTCCTATTCAGTTTCGGAAACGTGGACAATTCTCAGCCTTGGTACGTGGCATTGGCAGTCTTGGTTTGCTTCTCGCTCTTTGTGCAGATGGCTGAGGGCACCTCCTACGGCATCGTGCCCTTCATGAACCGGAAGCTTGGATCAGTGCATGGAAGATTCTTGGGTGATTCGCGGTTGCCACCGTTGCATCAAATTTGGACATGTCTGTCAGCATATCTAGGTGTGAAGTAATCGGGTCATGGCAACAACTTATCTTCGTAGTTCTTCGTACCGACTGGTAGTAACATAGGGGCCTTAGTAATTAGAATGGGGTTTCGGGGTATATTATACAATATTTGTATTAAGGGACACCCAAAATAGTATGGGTAATCATTTAGGCCCTTACAGTATGCGCACGTCAGGAAGCAGCTCGCAGTGGTGTCCGCGCTTGTGGGTGCCGGTGGAAATCTCGGGGCCGTGATTGCCGGCTTCTGCTTCTACCAGCCGAGCCTTGGGTTCAGGCTTTAGGGGGGCTAAGTTAGGTTTCAGGGTTTAGGTCTGATATAGGGTTTAGGGGGGCTAATATAGGGTTGCTTCTCCTTTGTCAGTTGGGTAACATTTTGCATTTTTATAGGTACTTAAACCCTACAAGGAATAAAGATGTACATGCTTTTTCCTATCCCAACCATGAACAAGGATCCAGGATCCGCTGCTGCCTTTCCAGGTCCATGCGGGCTATGTAATGTTTTGGGCGCTGCTGAGCCCATGCTACTACTGGTCCGAGATGGGTGGGATGTTCCACGGACCGGCACAGAGCTCCGAGAAGGGCAAGACGCAAAGCAGCGAGTGCCAGTCTCATGCGGAGCCTGTGGCCACCAGTGAGAACTGCATGTGAGCTTTAGCCTGGTTCAGACACGAGGCAGTCTGACCCTCAAGGCTGAGAAAGTCCTTGTACTTATTCGATTGCTCGAGCCAGTTTTGTGTGTCCGGTCGGTGTCTTAGCATGGAGTGCAGGGCACCGACGAGTTCAGACAGTCCCGCCACTTGGCAACAGGTGTGCGCAAGACCCGCCATTTCTGCGTTCTGCATAGAGTGCCAAGCAAGCGATCAAGTCGACTTGGTGCTGCAAGCAACAGACATCGAAGAAAAACCATACGTGAACGATGGTGGTGGCTACAGTGATTGCATTGATGGCAGCGGAGGTGCGGAGCGAGATCCGTGTGCTCGCAATGTTGTTGAAAGCATTGTCATCTTTTTGGAGCGCTAAGAGCAAAGTTAAAGTCTGGCCCAGTCGTGATGGAAACCCTAAACAGGCCCTAAACCCTAACCGCCTTTTTCGAATCCTATGAGGCTTCCAAGAAACCCTGTGTGCAAAATCGCAGTAAGAGACTCCACTAAGCCCCACGCAGCCCCATTAGAACTCACCCATAAAGCGTCAAACCCTTAAGCCCCAAACCCTGAAGCCCTAAAGCCCTAAACTCTAAAGCCCTAAATCCCTGCAGCGAAACGCTGAAGCCTAGAATCCCTAAGCCCTAAAAGCCCTAAAGCCCAAACCCAGCAAGGCCTTCTGAAAGCTTTTGATAGCAGAAACCCTAAACCCTAAACTCCTAACAGCAGAAACCCCTAAACCCTGAACCCTGCACCCCTGAACTCTTAAACCCCAACCCTGAACCAAGAATTGAAAAACAAACACACAGCAAGGAGCTGGTCATCGGCGACCACAAGAAGACGGACTTCGCCTCCACGGACAAGCTCTTCGAGGCCCTGGTCCAGCCTCCCACACCGCAAGACCAACTGGTGCTTAGTAGGTTCCCAGGAGTACTATACGGGTTCCTTTGAGGGATCTATAGGGTTTAGCGTTTAGGGTTTTAGGGTCTGATGCTTAGTAGTGAATGGGGGAATGGATATGGAGATTATTATTGGGGATTATATAGGGACTCCTATAGGGATCCATTCCTCCATTCCCTACTAAGCACCAGGGAGGAGAAAGGAAGTTTTGGGTTAGGGTCAGGGCCTTACGGGTTTAAGTTGTTTTTTTGTTGGTTACGGGTTTAGTTTTTGTTTGGTGGGTTTAGGGTTACTTGAGTGGGTTCAGTTGGGAATTTAGGTTGGGGGCTAGCTGTTGTCGGGTGTTTGGTGTTCAGGAGTTGAGGCGATTCGGAGAGCCGCTTTGTATACCCCCCCCCCTCCACCGCCCCTCAAAAAACAACATGTCCCTTGCATTTGCGGTCGATATTCCGCAGTTCCGCTCAGACTCGCTTTCTCGGTGTGTCTGCGTGCGCGGCTGTCAGTGTTTGATTTTGCCATATTCCGTTGGCCATTATTCGAAGGTACGTGCCACCGATCTGGGAGTTTCCGAAAACGAGGGGTACCTTATTTTGGGGTTCCTATAATAAAGGATCCTACTATTTATCTTATGTGGTGTTCTTATACTAAGGATCCTATTATTTAGGGTAATATATTGGGGTCCCCTATTTGCGGAAACTCCCATCTCGTACTTACGCTCTTCCGTGATCTGAGCCAGGTCTGAAAGGGGAAAAGGAGGGACCCTTAATGGGGACCCCTACCCTATATTGGGCTATATAATGGATATATAATAGCTATTTTAAGGGTATATACCTAGGGGTCCCCATTAAGGGTCCCTCCTTTTACCCTTGGAAGGTCAACAGGAAGCCGCACCTGCGACGGAACAGATCAGTTTTTCCTATAAGGGGGGATTTCATGCTGGAGAACCGTCGAAACGCGTCCTTTTGCGTGTATACTGTATACCCAATGTAAAGATCAGGGCCTTTGTTCAGTAATCACTACTTAGAGGATCATGGGATTTTGTATGCGGGGTTATAAATAAGGTAACTGTACTTATGACTACTTACAACCACAATTAAGGTACTTATAACCTTACCTGCTAAGTCCTATGATGATCCAAGTCAGCTCCAGGCAGGAGCATGACTTCCTAGTTGAGGTCAACGCGCTGAAACACTTGCCCAATCTGCCTGGCAAGGTCGCTTTTGAGCCCCCGAGCCCGTAAACTCAGTCAGCTGTTCTTAGACCCCTAAAATCCCTACAATCTCCAAGTTTTCAACTTAGATAGTGAACGGGGGAACTTTAAACCTTTTGGTCTTATATATTAGCTCCGTCTTAGAAAGTTTGAACTTTTTGGGGCCCGGTTGTTGAAGAAGAGAGTCAGAACACTTCTAACATCTCGCAAAACCGTAAAGAACTTTCACAAGGGAAAGTTCACAGCCTCCCCATCTAATATAGCGGCCTTAATAATTAGAAGGGGGTTGGGGGGCCCCATATACTACGACTATATTAAGGAACCCCCCAAGATAGTATGGGTGATTATGAATGCACAGATAGCGCCGTTAGCGGGGTGGGGGGGGTTCGTTCTCTCGGACTAATGAGGGGGGGGGGGGGTCCTTACTCCAGGAGCAGTATTGAGGGGGGGGGGGGTTCGCAATCCGGGAGTATAGGGGGGGGGGGGGTTCATACTTCAGGAGTATTGAGGTCCAGGACTATTGAGGGGGGGGAGGGGACTCGTACTCTTGGGGAGGGGGGGGGCCTTTTGGGAATGGTTGTTGTAGTATTTTGTCGGGTAATCCGGGAAGGTTCATACTTCAGGAGTATTGAGGGGGGGGGTCTATTCCAGCACTATTGAGGGGGGGGGGGATTCGTACTTTTGGGGAGGGGGGGGGGCTGTGGGGTGAGGAAAAAGGCGCAGGATCGGGTGAGGAAGAAGGAGCAGGAGTATTGAGGGGGGCGGGGGGGGTCCTTACTCCAGCAGTAAGGAGGGGGGGGGGGGGGTTCGTAATCCGGGAGTATGGGGGGGGTTCATACTTCAGGAGTATTGAGGGGGGGGGTGTCTATTCCAGGACTATTGAGGGGGGGGGGACTCGTACTCTTGGGGAGGGGGGGCCTCTTTGGGAATGGTTGTTGTAGTATTTTGTCGGGTAATCCGGGAGTATAGGGGGGGGGGGGTCATACTTCAGGAATATTGAGGGGGGGGGGGGCTCGCACTCTTGGGGAGGGGGGGGGCCTCTTTGGGAATGGTTGTTGTAGTATTTTGTCGGGTGAGGAAAAGGCGCAGGATCGGGTGACAATTTTGGCGAACACGCTCCTATAACCCTGTTGTTGTCCTTCTTCGAACTTGACCCCCTCCTCCATATTGGAATATAACCCCCCCCTCCATACTGCTGGACTATGAATCTTCTCCCTCCATACTCATGGAGTATGAACCCTCCTTCCTGGACCATGACCCCCCCCCCCTCTATATTCCCGAACCCCCCCCCTCAATACTCCTGGAATAAGGACTCCCCCCCCCCCTCAATACTCCTGGAGTATGAACCCCCCCCCTCTATTCTTTCCCCCCCCCCTGCCCGCCCGGGGGGGGGGGTCAATACTCCGGAAGAACTAACCCCCCCCACCCGTGTCCTAGCGGCGCGGTCTCCCTTCAAGGGTTGATTCAGCCTTCAGCCACTTGATCTCCTTCCTGTGGCCTCCTTTGCTCTTAGGACGGAATGAGGGTTTAGGGTCCGGGTTTCCCTTGCGACTTCTCTGAGCTATGAGCCTTGGGACATCTTGTTGGCTCCGATATGTAGCCCGGAAGCGCGCGACTTTGTCATCCTAAATCTTGAACCCTAAACACCCGATTCGAGAACCACCAGCTGCAAAGGAGCTTCCTTGTGCAAGGCAGAGAGAACAAAGGCGCAACCAAGCATGCAGCTGACGGTAGGAATTGCTCGCGAGGAGCTTCGGAAATCGTTTTCGTTCAGACTCTCTTGGCTCAAGACAGGTGCTCCTTGTGGCTATCTGACACCTGACCTACCAGACAAAATGCTGGCAAGAGGATTGGTGTTCGTTTCAGCCATTCTGAGGGCAGGTGCTTCTGCTTCGTCCATCCAGTGGGCCATCAAAGAGCAGTTCTCTAGCAACGACTGTGCTATGAACAACTTGACCCTTTGGCAGGCACTTATGTGAGTCTTCGATTTCCCTTGGCGTGTAGTGGTCTAGTTTTACTATTATTGCAGTTTTATTGTATTAGTATAGTATTACCATAGTAGTACTATAGTATAACTTTTAGAAACTGCTTCGGTTTGGTCAAGGACGGAAGACACTGTGCTTGGGCGGATCGGAACAGTAGCCCTGGGCCTTGGTTGTGGAGGTGCCAAAACTACGTCGTCGAGGGTACAAGGCTGATAGAGTATACCCACTACAACGTTTCTGCCGAGTGTTCCGATACACCCAACGTCAAT